TGCTTACCCCAGAAATTCTTTGGACCCTCGTTGTAGTACTATCCAAAAGCTATTTATTATAGCAAAATCTATAATCCCTAGTTATACAGAACTGCCGAGGCAATGGTTTTGAACAAGTGGGTGACCCCAGAGCATATTTTATCAAAAAATGACTTTTTCCCGTGTTACGGACGAAATTTTCGGCCTTTAAGAATCCTTACCCCAGAAATTATTTACCCTCACGTTGTATTACTATCCAATAGCTATTCCTTAGGGCAGCGTCTATAATGCCTAGCCATAAAAAACTACCGAGACAATGGGTCGGAAAAAGGGTGCCCCCATTGCGTATTTTAAACAATTTGGCTTTATTTCAATGTTTCGGACGCAATTTTCGTCTTCTAGGAAAGCTTACCCCAGAAATTCTTAGACCTTTGTTGTAGTACTATCCAAAAGCTATTTATTAGAGCAGAATTTATAATCCCTAGCCATACAGAACTGCCGAGGCAATGGTTTTGAACAAGTGGGTGACCCCAGATCATATTTTATCAAATACGACTTTTTTCCCGTGTTACGGACGAAATTTGCGGCCTTAAAGGATGCTTATCCCAGAAATTCTTTCCTCTCACGTTGTAGTACTATCCAATAGCTATTCCTTAGGGCAGCGTCTATAATGCCTAGCCATAAAGAACTACCGAGACAATGGGTCGGAAAGTGGGTGCCCCCAATGGGTATTTTATAGAATCTGGCTTTATTTCCATGTTTCGGACGCAATTTCCGTCCTCTAGGAATGCTTACCCCAGAAATTATTTGGCCCCTCGTTGTAGTCTATCCAAAAGCCATTTATTATAGCAAAATCTATAATCCCTAGCTATACAGAACTGCCGAGGCAATGATTTTGAAAAACTGATAATATGTATAAATCTCATCTGAACCCATTTGCCCAGTCACGGTCACATATTATGTTCATGATCTATCATTTTTCTGTCAAGAATCATGTGCGTGTTCATGGAATATATCTGTGATGCACCTATCCCTTTTCTCTTAATCGTCTAATAACGAGATATCGTCTAATAACAAGATATCGTCTAATAACGAGATATCGTCTAATAACGAGATATCGACTAATAAATAGTTATCTTCTAATAACCTTCTTGTTGTTAATTTCGTGTTGGTGTTTCCGTCTGCCATGTAAGGCTGGATATAATTCTGACTGAACAGTTTATGAATAATTGATTGATGAATGTTGCTTAACGTCGAACAGGTAAACAGATGTTTCTAAAATAGGGTTCCCAAATAAAATTATGTTTGCAAAAACAGACATACAGTATACTCAGTTGTAAGACCTAGGTTTTGGGAGAACATAAAAGACCAACAGAAGATTAAAAATTCAGATCTAGGTGAAGTGAAAACACGACATAACAGGCCTACAGAGGATTAAGAAGAAACCTAGGTGAAGGGACAACACGACATAATAGGCCTACAGAGGATTAAGAGGAAACCTACGTTAAGGGAGAACACGATATACCAGGCCTACAGAGGATTAAGAGGAGACATAGCTGAAGGAAGAACACGACATAATAGGCCTACAGAGGATTACGAAGCTAGACCTAGGTTGAGGAAGAACACGACATAACAGGCCTAGCGGATTAAGAGGAGACCTAGGTTATGGAAGAACACGACATAACAGGCCTAGCGGATTAGGAGGACACCTAGGTGAAGGGAGAACACGACATAACAGGCCTACAGAGGATTAAGATGAGACCTAGGTTAAGGAGAGAAAAACGACATAACAGGCCTACAGAGGATTAAGAGGAGACCTAGGTTAAAAGACAACACGACATTAAAGGCCTACAGAGGATTAAGAGGTTAGACATTTTTGAAGGGGGGGGGGGACATAACTGGTCAACAGAGGATTAAAACGATACACCTACATGTAGGTATAGGGGGAGCTTAAAAAGCCAACAGAGGATTGAGATGTTAGACCTATATGTAAAGGGGGAGCTTAAAAAGCCAACAGAGGATTGAGATGTTAGACCTATATGTAAAGGGGGAGCTTAAAAAGCCAACAGAGGATTGTGATGTTAGACCTATATGTAAAGGGGGAGCTTAGAAGGCCAACAGAAGATGTAGATGTTAGACCTAGGTGAGGAGAGAACATTAAAGGCTAACACAGGATTTATAGGTTATAACTTGGTAGAGGAACAAGTAAAATAACCAAAATTACCGAACTCCGAGTAAATTTAAAACGGAAAGTCCATAATCAAATGGCAAAATTAAAAAGCTCGAAACATATGAAACGAATGGATAACATCTGTCATATACCTGACTTGGTACAGTCATGAAAATTGTGGATTAGACCTGTTTTCATAGCTAGCTAAACCTCCCACTTGTATGACAGTCGCAACAAATTCCATTATATTGACAACAATATGTGAACAAAACAAACAGACACAATAGGTTAAAATGTCTGAAATAGGGGTACAGCAGTAAACATTGTGTTATAATCTTAATCACTATAAAAACAACAAATATACGAACACGACAAAAAAGGCTTACAGAGGATGAAGATGTTAGACCTAGATGAGGAGAGACCACGACATAAAAGGTCTACAGAGGATGAAGATATTAGACCTAGGTGGGGAGAGAACAAGACATAAAAGGCCTACAAAGAATGAAGATGTTCGACCTAGGTGAGGAGAGAACACGACAAAAAAGGCCTACAGAGGATGAAGATTCTAGACCTAAGTAAAGAGAGAACACGACATAAAAGGCCTATAGAGGATGAAGATGTTAGACCTAGGTGAGGAGAGAACACGACATAAAAGGCCTACAGAGTATGAAGATGTTAGACCTAGGTGAGGAGAGAACACGACAAAAAAGGCATACAGAGGATAAAGATGTAAGACCTAGGTGAGGAGAGAACACGACAAAAAAGGCCTACAGAGGATGAAGATGTTAGACCTAGGTGAGGAGGGAACACGACATAAAAGGTCGACAGAGAATGAAGATGTTAGACCTAGATGAGGAGAGAACACGACATAAAAGGCCTACAGAGGATTAAGAGGAGACCTAGGTTTTCTATGATGAGGGCCTCGGGGGAGATAAGTTATATAGCTAACTGTGTAACCCTCTTAAAATGAAGTATTGCTAAAGTTTTTTCTACACCCGTGATGATTTTAAAAGATATTGGATATGTAATTGACAACATATTTGTTGCGATCGATGGACTAAAATATCAACAAACAGAATTAATAAAACCATTCTCCAGAATTAAACGAAAACACATATTGCAAAATATGCTACAATGTACGTTCACTTTCAGATATACTGATGCTGTCCTGTTTCTCAAAACATATATTTGAGTGAGTGCTTGCATCTCATAAAACCAAGTGAACTATGCCCATATCTGACTGCTCACTGAAACACGCTATAAGCTCCTATAAATATTGGTGTACATGTACGTAAGTGTGACATAGTCCGGCTTACATGATTAAAAGTGTGTACGTCTGAAGCGCTTTTCGTCTACAAAAGACACAAAATAGTCAAAAGGTGAAATAAAGTACAAAGATGAATAGCATTTAAAAAAGGTGGTTGCTATTTTTCCGGCTCGCTCGAAAAAAGCAAAACATGTCAATTCTTTCTTGAAGAAAAGCTTTTCATTGCTATTATTGATATTTTCTGGCCATACATAACAATGAAGAATTGATATGCTTTTGCCTAAGTGGTTATTATAGCATCTGGTGGAAAATGAATTGCCAATACGTTTTCTCCCGTGCTAACGCCAAAAATTGGAACTATTCATTTTTGCTCGTCTCCGCACACACGTTCCGAATTATAAGCTCATGATAAAATTTTTGGAAAATAGTAAAAAAAAAAAAAAATCAAATCAAAAACAGAATTACTATGGGAATACACTCCTCAAAACTTCAATTTAGTTTTCTACTGGCTGTTCTTTGGAACACCCTAATTCTCCTTAACTATAAACAGTTTGTCAAGAGAGATCAAAAGATTTGTCAACATCGGTATGCAGCAAAGAAACTTTTGACTTAAAATCACTTTGCAAAAAAGTTTACATTCACTAAAACCAAACCAATGAAAATGCAAATAAATGTACTTCATAATAATATAGCATATTCAGATATTGTTCTTGCTTCTAAGGGAATGGGGGTTCAAAAATGACAAACCTCTTTTTACGTTCTTTCTATGATATTACTGTAAGGTTAGGAGTCAGGCCAGTGACTCATGGCTTCAATGAATATCTATGATTCCTAAAGAAGATCCCGAATTTTAGATTTCCTTGAAGTTTGGTTTCAATGAAGTCGTCAAATGATTTTTCACGATTTTTTTTATTTGAAATGTGCGAAAAGTTTTTAAACAGAAAATAAGAGAAAAGGGTAGGCACATGTAAAACGCTCAAAAGAAGATTGTGTTTAAAATAGCAAAGCATGATAATTTTTATTGAGAACATAACTACAACAGAATGAAATTTAAATAAAAGAGGGGTTTTCCCTCAAGCCGGGTAAATTTTCCCAGTCAGGGCATTTCAGTGCATGTTCATAGATCTCCATTAAAGTAGAACTTACAAATCACGCAGTCAAGGATAATCTGATTAAGTCGTTTTCCTGTAAATCGTTTCTTTTATGTGATTTGTCTCTATTGATACAGGTAGAGGAAATTTGTGTTTAAAGCAACCAACTTCTCTGTAATTTTCATAAGGACAAAAAGCCATCCTTAAATATAAAATTATTTATATATTGAATATATATTCAATTCTCCAAACGTCCTTTGCATTTGCGCGTTTGAAATCCTTCATCACATCCACGAAATTGTCCACGTCACAAGACATTGCTCTTGATTTTGAACATTTGCTCATGTGCAAACGGATGGCCTGGAGATAGAAATTGTTACCTATTCTTCCGGCTAGCCGGAACAGTACACACTCCGTTTAAAAAATTGTATACCAAATAGAGAAATAGAGAAAACGTGACAGAATGGTGAAGCTTTTAAGGAATGAACATGACTAGTGGTTGATACTTTATAGTCAGGAAAATAATGTTACAGAACATATATAAACATAAGCAAATAATAAATATCATATACAAGTAGTACATATGTCAATATTAAATACACTGAAAAAAACGATCATATCTTTATCCTACAATTGGAAGGTTTACATAGATATAAAACCAGGTTAAACTACCCTTTTTATCGGAAAATGCCTGTACCAAGTCAGGATTATAGCAGTCGTGTTTCACTTGTTCCGTTAATGATAAAATTTGATTTTGTAAAGCTCGTACTAGATACCACAACTTCATGTTGTACATTTATTGAATTAATGAACAAAAATGTTATCTGTAGGTCATCCGTGCATTTGTTTAATGAACAGCATTGACATGTTTAAGTTATGGCCAGTATATAAAGTATATCACTAGATTCAGCTCTCTTTTTAAGATAAGTATAATGTGCCTTGCTCCTTGATTTTTTTTTTTGGGAAATTTTAGCTTTTTAAATGGACAAATTACATTTACACATACATTGTTAAATAAAGGCAACAGTAGTATACCGCTGTTCAATAAGACGTTAAGTAAGATAGAAGCAGCATTCACATGATATCCGTTATAACTGTCAGCATTAGGCATTTCTGATAAATAACATGGAGTGTTTAAGTTGTTTAAGTTGCTTGTTACCTACAGATGTACACGCCATTCATAGAACCATGTCGTAGGTCGAATATGTGCTTCTAAGAAACTGGCTCACAAATCTTATTTGAACATTGTATAAATAATATAACTGTGACCATATATTATTTTTGTTTGTTCTTGATGTCTATCTGAAATTCGAGATGGTGGTAACTCTGGTACACAGTATAATATTGAACATTTTGAGAATGACATAGGTTAATCACTATCATGCACATTACACACAGAATACACAAATTTACAATACTAAATTTCTAAAGAAATATGGATTCCACAACTGCAACAAGTGTGTTACGATATTTCTTCACTCGAGACAGTTAAATTTTAATATTTAAAACGGGAGGTTTGCCGAACTTTTTAAATAATTAGAATTTTACTGTTGAAAGTGGAGAACATAAGTAAATATTGTCAATACCATACAAAACCGTAATACACGAGTTATAGTGGTGGAATCTGTTTATTTAATGATTTTTATCCTTTTGTTTAAAAGATTTGCAGAAAGTTGTGTTCTTTATATGTGACGTCAATAGGCATGGTCGCCTTTTTTTCATGAAGTCACAATAGGAAATTCAGAAGAAACCAAGAAAATTAGATGTCATAATTACATTTCGACCAGTGATTTGTCGAGAATTGATATTTCACTAGTGAGGAGAAATATTTTTCTCACACCGATCAAGAAATGTTATATTAAAATAGCAGAAAAATTAGAGAATAAGTTATATACAACAGAGAATAAATGTAATCCTAATTCAAATTATATTTAAGTTAATAACAAAGGATAAAACATGTATGTGTGAGCCAAGGCTCCGTGTTGAAGGCCGTACTTTGACTTATAATGGTTGACTTTTTACAAATTGTGATTTGGATTGAGAGTTGTCTCATTAACATTCATAACACATCTTCTTATATCTATGAATAATTCAAACAAAGTATAACTTTTATAAAAATGAAAATATAAGGTCTTGGTTCAAATAAGGAGGTACTGATATAAACATAAAAATGTAAGCTCCTGATAGTATTAATGTATAAGATATATACAACAGAATGTCAATATAGGGTCCAGATTCACATTAAGTATCATGTACATACAAAGAAACTTAATTGCAAGGTTCTTATCCATATAATGAAAAACTTATAAAAAAAAGATAGCAATGTATATAAATGTAAGGTCCCAAATTCAAAAAAAGAATAACTTATATACAAATGCAAATGAATGCATGGCATACACATGTGTGGTCCCCGTTCAAATAAAGAATAAATTATATACAAATGCAATTGAATACATGGCATACACATGTGTTGTCCCCGTTCAAATACAGAATAACCTATATACAAATGTAAATGAATGCATGGCATACATATGTGTGGTCCCCGTTCAAATAAAGAATAACTTATAAACAAAGCCAAATGAATGCATTGCATACACATATTTGGTCCCCATTCAAATAAAGGATAACTTTTTTACACAGTCATATTCATGCATTGCATACACATGTACGGTCCCTATTCAAATAAAGAATATCTTATATACAAAACAATATGAATGATTGACGTACACATGTATAGTTCCCATCCAAATAAAGAATATCCTAAATACAAAGACATTAAAAAAACAAGGCTTCGATACAAAAAATAAATAACTCATGCACTTTTTGCAATTATAATGAAAAGCTCATACACAAAAACATATAAATTGAAGGTCCATATTGCAATACCGAACTAATTATATACATGATATGTAAATGAACAAAAATTATAATTCATAATGAATAACTAAAAGCAAAGAAAAACACATAAAACATTTTGATTCAAATGAAGAATAACTTGCATACAATCAACATACATATAAGGTTCGTGCTGTTTCAAACAATGAATAACTTATAACATAAACAATAAATGAGTGAGCATATGGATCATTTATTCAGTTGTTATTGCTTGTCGAGAAAATCATAGTTCTTCAATGCAGTCTAAAGATATAAGCACACACATGCACGGTCCCTATTCAAATAAAGAATAACTTATATACAAAAAATATGAATGATTGACGTACACATGTATAGTCCCCATTCAAATAAAGAATATCCTATATACAAAGACATTTAAAGAACAAGGCTTCGATACAAAAAATAAATGACTCATGCACTTTTTGCAATTATAATGAAAAGCTCATACACAAAAACATATGAATTGAAGGTCCATATTGCAATACCGAACTAATTATATACATGATATGTAAATGAACAAAAATTATAATTCATAATGAATAACTAAAAGCAAAGGACAACACATAAAACATTTTGATTCAAATAAAGAATAACTTGCATACAATCAACATACATATAAGGTTCGTGCTGTTTCAAACAATGAATAACTTATAACATAAACAATAAATGAGTGAGCATATGGATCATTTATTCAGTTGTTATTGCTTGTCGAGAAAATCATAGTTCTTCAATGCAGTCTAAAGATATAAGCACAGTACCATATGTGTTGTGATTCAATCTATCTTAATTAAACAGGTTGATTGACTGGGTTGAAATCTACCTTAATCGGTTGAGAGGAAAAAATCCGGGTTACAAACTAAAACTGCGGGAAACACATCAACTAACAACTGCTATCTTCAGGACTTAGTACAGGACATTTAAAAAAAAATGTTGGTTGAACCTGGTTTTATGGCTAGCCAAACTTCCCGCTTATATGGCTATGTTAAAAAATATCGCTAAAATGACAACACTACGTGACAGGAATACAGTACAAACAAACACAAGAACACTCAACAGAGAGAAACGCATTCATAAATAATATAATAGTACATTGAAACGCATAACAACGGACATCTTTCTTTATCGCAGCACAGGTACCACAAACAGTGACGTATTTAAACTCATTAAATATATATGCCTGTTAGTATTTTTGATTTGTTATCACGAACTTAAGTTCCATTTTCACAAATATCACAAATATCATACAGACCACAATTAATCCTTTAAGGTTTCAACTCATCAGGCATAATTGACCTTAGGTGGATTTGGATATGTTTATGTCGGTTTGGTCATATAGATCTTTAACTGTTTCGGTTCTTATACATCCTTGGTTTTCAAATATTCGACTTTGAGCGTGCCTGATGAAAGTAAAGCCGAAAAAAGCGCTTCGGACGCATGTATAACTTGTTGTTTTTATTTTCATAGGATAACTAGATAAGCGTCATCTGTTGTGAAGAACAACGTATAACTCTAATCTATCATACTATGTATGACTGACAAAGGTTATCATACAAGGAGCACAGTTAAAAAAAATCTTATGTCCAGCCAGTTTCGTTTCTTATTTCGGAAAAGACATTTTTCGTGTAGCTCTGACAGTTGATAAAACATACTTTCCGAAAGTTTATAACCAACAAATACATGTACGATGAAGTATTTGTAAATTTGAAAGTGTATGGGACATTGATGTTGAAATATAACCCTCGTTCACTTCTTCAACAAGCTTTACATATAAAAAAAAAAATGTTGCAATGATTTATCATTCACAGTTTAACAAGAGTGCACACACTGTATTTTGCCGGTTTCACTAAAGACGCCTGCATTTTACGTTGACAAAAAAAGCTAAGACACCACTTGATAAATTACATACTCATAAACATTATCTGTATGAACCTTCAACTAATCATGATAAATGTTACATGTGTTAGTTGCAAAAAAGCTACGTCAATTAACAAGCACAAAAGAAAGTGACAATGTAATTCATGTGTAACAAAAACAAAATATACTGCAAAATATATATATACAATATTATTTATTTTACACTCCTATTTACAATGGTTGCAATATAAGCTATTTGTCAAAGAGACATGTAAAAACACACACAAAATAAGCAATAAACCTGAATTTCGCATCAGTTGGGTGAGTTCTTCATCAGTTTATAGAAATAAAAGTTGCATCTGGTGGTCTTGTTTGTCGGCAATAAAATAACAAATAGCCTCTGGTTGTCTTGTTTTTAATCAATTAGAATAAAAAAGGTGTATCTAGTAGCCTAACTTTTCAGCAATAGAAATAAAAACTGCATGTGGTGGTGTTGTCTTTTAGAATTAAAATTTGCCTCCGGTGTCAATGTCTTCGTCGATGAACTCTAAAGATTGCCCCTAATGGTTAAGTTCTTCATCCATAAGAATAAAATATTGCCCCTGGTGGTTGAATTCTTCATTCATAAGAATAAAAGATTACCCCTGGTGGTTGAGTTCTTTGTCCATCAGAATACAAGATTGCCCCTGGTGGTTAAGTTTTTCGTCCATGAGATAAAAAGATTGCCCTTGGTGGTTGAGTTCTTCGTCCATAAGAATACAAAATTGCCCCTTGCTGTTGAGTTCTTCTTCGTCCAGTAGAATTCCAAATTTCCCTTGGTGGTTGAGTTTTTCATCCATCAAAAATAAAAGATTACCCCTAGTGGTTGAGTTTGTCATCCATAAGAATAAAATAACACCTTCTTTAGTTGTGTATTATCTATTTGAATTAAAAAGTGTTTGTCTGATGTTAATGTTCTTTTTTCAATCAGAACTGAAGATTGCCTCTGGTGGTAAAATTCTTTATCTCATCAAATGGACATCATTTCTAGAGAACCATGCAATACAAAGCGCCAAAATATACCAAGGAGACATTAAAATCACACACGTCGTAGTCAAACTGACAACAACACTACAAAACATATAAACCGCAAGAAAACTGAATATGTCCCAATACACAACATAACATGCTAAAGATTGAGACACAAGAACACACAACTTCCTGTCAGGTTCTTGTTGAAATATTTACAGCAGGTGTAGGATTTGACAGATTTGTGTAATGTACAACCAATGGTTTCACGTTTGCCATCTGATAAATAACAAATGATGATCATTAACAAATGCTCTTCACATGATTAATTTCTGACAGATAAAATACAATTCCCTTGTACACTCAGAGAAGAATAAAGAATAATCCCCCGATAAAAATTTGCCGTACATCCCCTGCTGTCTAAGATTTCCGAAGGCAGACATTCTTTTCATTTGATTTAAACAGCATAAAAGAGAACATTAAACAAGACCTTTCTTAAGTAATTTCTACCGATTTTGGATCGAATTGCATGGTCCAATAATTTCAGAAAGGACACAAAGGGATAACACTGGCTCGTAATAATTTAAACTGAATATAGCATTAAACAATAACTTCTCTCCTTGGAAGATTTTTTCTTCTGCCAAGCTATCTGCACCTTAGAGTCTGTATTGTAACCTTCATGGTAAAAAGATTTAACTATAAAAGTAAACAGTTTCTGTCATACTATCAACACCTTAGTGTCTATGTCCTTCACAGTAGTAGGTTTCTGCCACACTATCTGTGGAAGGGTCAAACATCACTGGTATTCATGTTTGGTTTTAAGTCGCTTGCAATTGTTGGCTTTCTTAGGTATCAGACATACTGCTAACATGTCTATTAATTCTGCCCGAAAACTTCACATTTGATATATGTTATGTTATATAACTACACTTAAATAATCTAGTTTCATAAACCTTAAAACTGAAATTCAATAACTTACAAACTGAAATAAATTTTAAATTATCTTGCAAATATAAAAAAAAAACGAAAAACAAATGACTACATTAAAAAATATACTCTTCACGGAATTTTGGTCAATATGATAAGTTACAGGTAACATAAATATACAGGTAAACACTATTATCAAAAATTAGCAACAAATTAAAATACCTTTTAAATTCTACCATGAGAGCTCGACATTATAGCTATTATAAATAAATATTTCAAATTTTCCTATTATCAGTTGTTAACTCAAAAATACATAATATAAGGGTACAAATATTGGTCCACATTTAATTGGGTTATATTGCTTTGGTTAATTTATGTACGTCTCCCTCCAATCATCATCTTCTTTGTTCATTGGTGTCTAACAAGGAGATGTTGATAAAAAGACTTTGACGATACTTTGTGGTTTCCGTTTCAGGTATTTTATCTTGTCTCTGTATAAATTAAAAGCTAACCAGTTAATGTTTTTCATTTTTCGAAATAGTGAACAATTCATATCCTTTTAAATATTATATAATAATGGATAATGAATGGGATGATATACTATAATGAATGCTGACCCTTCCAGATCACCCCAGTACACAACTAAGGTGTTCCAAAAGGGTCAGTATTGATGGTAAATGGGATGATATAATGTAATCAATACTGACCCTTTTGGAACACCTTAGTACACCACTGGATAATGAATGGAATCATATAATGTAATGAATGCTGACCCTTCCAGATCACCCCAGTACACAACTTGATGGTAAATAGGATGATATAATGTAATCAATACTGACCCTTTTGGAACACCTTAGTACACCACTGGATAATGAATGGAATCATATAATGTAATCAATGCTGACCCTTCCAGATCACCTCAGTACACCACTTGATAGTAAATAGGATGATATAATGTAATCAATACTGACCCTTTTGGAACACCTTAGTACACCACTGGATAATGAATGGAATCATATAATGTAATCAATGCTGACCCTTCCAGATCACCTCAGTACACCACTTGATAGTAAATAGGATGATATAATGTAATCAATACTGACCCTTTTGGAACACCTTAGTACACCACTGGATAATGAATGGAATCATATAATGTAATCAATGCTGACCCTTCCAGATCACCTCAGTACACCACTTGATGATAAATGGAATGATATACTGTAATCAATGCAGACCCTTCCGGAACACCTTAGTACACCACTGGATAATGAATGGAATGATATAATGTAATCAATACTGACCCTTTCGGAACACCTTGGTACACCACTTGATAATGAATGGAATGATATAAGGTAATCAATACCGACCCTTTCGGAACACCTCAGTATACCACTTGATAATGAATCGGATGATATAATGTAATCAATGCTGATCCTTTCGGAACAACTATAACACATATTTGTATTTCGTTAATTGCTTTGTACATTCATCAGACCGTTATTGTTCTCATTTCGGGGCGTGTATAGGTTGTTTTGAAGTATACATTTTGCTCATAGCTGAATAACGTACTTATAATTGCTAGTTTGCCCGCAATGTTGTCTGTTTTGGGGCGTTGTCTAATTGACAATTATATCACATCTTCCAATTATGTATCTTAAAAAAATATTGTTTTTGTTAAACTGACGATATGCATAATCTTTATCATTACGCTAAATATATTTAATTCACTTATTCATTTAAGATTGCAAATTATTTTAAACTTCGACTTTCTGTCATAGCTAAGTGAAAATAAAAAAAAAGTTATGTGTAGTTTATCCAACAAACACATACATATACTTTCAACTTACTCTCCTTCAGTTCATTTGAAGCAACTCTTAATGGTTGATATATCTCTGCTTGCGACTGTTGTGTTTTCTATTTCATCTGCCAGTTCTGCATATACAGAGTCTTCTCGGAGAGCTTTGATAAATTCAATAAATTCATGTTCACTTTCATGCAAAAGTATGTCCATTAATTTCCTGTTCTTTTGTATTTGTGCTGGACAAGCATTTATCATTTGACTATCAGCTATGGTCAACACATCACGTGATATCAGATGATCGACTATTTTCTCATGCTGTATACTGTCAATGATGTTTGAGTAGTTCTTTTGTAGACGAACTTTATACATCGGAACAGTCCAATTTGACAACCCTACAAATGTTTTACAATTTTAATTATCGCCACGTCTACTTGTATATCATGAATAAATAAGCATAAATAAGTCTGGATTGAAAACAACGTTCAAACCTATGATTGCGTTGGATAAAAACCGCAATTTTTATACGTGTGCATGCAAAACAAATTTCTTGGTAGAGGGGTCTAATAAATAAGCTTTATATTCATACGAGCAATCCCACGTTTTACTCTATCTGGTAGAAGAGAGGGTCAAATACTGCATGCAGCATCATTGTTGGGGAGTAGTCCTTTCAATGAAAATATTTTCTGAAAAAATCTATTTGAATTCAAAACTGTGCATGTGGAATAGTGGAGTTCTTATTGTATGTTCTATTAAAATGTGAAACAATATGAATCACTGTATAATGATTTGGGCAACTGAATACTTAATTGTACAAGCCTAATCACGTATCAAACCTGTTGTGTTGTCTACCTTACAGGAATCAGGATATACACAATAAGACACCATACCTTTGGAAGGCTTGATATGAAATAAACACATGTATTTTACTTTTTTAGTTCGTTTTTGTTTTTGTGTGACTTGACCTCAGCAGTACTAAACAATATGTAATATATAAACTTAACCAATGTGATTTGTTATGTATTACACATAAATTTGGTTTCTTCTTGATATACATGATGTTAAAGTCAATATTAGCATTGACAACGTAGAACAAGTAATTGTAATAGCTCATGTGTTAAATATTCCATGACACAAATTATGTTAAAGTCAACAGTAAAGTTCACAACATAGACCAAGTAATTGTAATAGCACACGTGCTCAATATGCAACACGAACATGATGCAAAATCTTACTAAAGCCATTCATGCGTAAAATGAAGGTCAGCAGTGACCTTATCTTTAGTGAATAATCCTCACCAAACCAGGTGATTCAAGTGAATAAGTAGGTTGCCTATATCTTAGGCAGACCACACAATTGACCCAGGATGGCGGAACAAAATAATTGCGTTGCCTATATGTTGGGGCAGAGCACACAATTCACTCAGAACTGAAGAACAATATAATTGTGTTACCTATATCAGTATTTGTATAAGATGTAATAATCAACATGAATACTACATCAATGTAATACAAAACACTATTCAATTTGTATTTGTATTTAAATAAACCAAACAAACACCAAAACCGGTCATACCTTTATTTTCCATGTTTTCAGTATATACTAATGCTGCACTTGAGGCTTCTTCATGTGATTCACATTTCAAATCATTTGCTAGATCTGTGTATCCACTTGTTCGTAGTGCATCAACAAACACAGAATAGGTAGGCTCTCCCCTCTTGTTCACTACTTCAAGTAATGCTTTATTCTGATCATCTTGTCTAACAGGTTGTTCAATGCTTCGTCTGTCATCTGATGATATTACCAAATGTGACATCATATAATCTAAAATCTGACTGATTTGTATGTCGTGTATGATTCTCTCTGGAATGTGAAACATACATACAAACTTATAGAAATGTGAAACATACATACAAACTTATAGATAAGACTGAACAACACGAATACATCTATCATTATCAACATATATTATCTTTTTTTTCTAATGTTTATCACATTTTAGTCTGATTTCGTTATTCAAAAGACTAATGAACTCGATAAAAACCATTCTCAGTTTTATTTTGATAATTGTTCATGTGTTTATATATGTAATGTTGATAAATATGATTACAAACTTTTCATTCGCTAAATATACGTGTTTTTCCCTGTTTTGCATAAATCAGACTTTATAACGATCAATGATTGATGACGAACTAGGATTCCAGTGCCCGTTGACAGACTGATATGCACACATTAACTTATCCAATATTCCTTCTTCTGCTCTTGTTTAAGATATCACGTCCCATCAAACTATATGATTGCCAGGAGTAACCATATAGCTGCTTGTTATATTGTTTAAGGTATCACGTCCCATGAGACTTTATGATTTCCAAGAGGAACAATACAGCTGCCTGTTATCTTGTTTAAGGTATCACGTCCCATGAGACTTTATGATTGCCAGGAGGAACAATACAGTTGCCTGTTATCTTGTTCAAGATATCACGTACCATGAAACTATATAATTGACGGGAGGAACAAAACAGCTGCCTGTTCTCTTGTTTAAGATATCACGTTCAATTAAACTATAATGATAGCCAGGAGGAACAATACAGCTACTTGTTATCTTGTTTAAGGTATCACGTACCTTGAAACTATATGATTGACAGGAGGAACAAAACAGCTGCCTGTTATCTTGTTTAAGATATCACGTACCATGAAACTATATGATTGACCGGAGGAACAAAACAGCTGCCTGTTATCTTGTTTAAGATATCACGTACCGTGAAACTATATGATTGCCAGGAGGAACAAAACAGCTGCCTGTTATCTTGTTTAAGATATCACGTACCGTGAAACTATATGATTGACAGGAGGTAAAATACAGCTGCCTATTATCTTGTTTAAGGCCATGAAACTATATAATTTCCAGGAGGAACAATACAGCTGCCTGTTATCTTGTTTAATGTTGCGTAATCATTGTTTACTAGTGTTATGTGATCTGGTTTTTTGTCTTTGTCTTAACAAGAATGCTTTTGAGTTTGAAGTTGGTTCTCTTATATCTCGTTGTTTTTAAATTGGCAATATTTCTACCAATGTTTAATATGTTGTATTATACCATATGCTGGCAACAATATTTAACCGATGTTCAAATATATTTTTTTAGAGAATCTTACTGAGCATAGAAACTGAAGGTTGATCAAAGAAACTAAATAATGGCTAAGTGATACGAAATCAAGGCCAAGTTATCTCAGTCATATAGATTATATATTATCTTATACTATATCAATGATCCTACAATTACCAAAATGAGTTGGGTGAAGCCAATTATAGGTCTCGTTTGGCCTTTATTAACAAATACTGTTTATTCCGCGATAAAAGTCCCCGACATGTAAAATAATTGAATATGCGGCAATTCAATTTAAACAAAATAATCAGCAGTCTCATTTATGAAAAAGCAATTAAAGCAAAACAAATATAGTTGACATATAGTTTAAGTAAGAAAGAAACCTTAGCATAGAAACTTAAGTTTGACCAAATAAACAAAATCATGCCTACGTGATCCCAGTCACATAGACAATGTTGCCTTATAACATGACAATCAGGGGTCACCTTACAGCGTCAATTTAAACAAAAAAACCAACATCCTTATTTATGACTAATCAATTAAAGAAAATCGAATATGACCATAACCAACAGTTATTAGATCTAGAACAAACAAAACAAAGGCAAACATGTGTTTCAAAAAAACCCTACCTATTCTAATTTTTTTTAGTTTGAAGGTCGTTCTTTTGTATCTTGTTGTTTTTTAAATTGGCAATATTTCTACCAATGTTTAATATGTTGTATTAAACCATATGCTGGCAACAGTAGTTAACCGATGTTCAAATATAGTGTTTATAAAGAAACTTACTTAGCATAGAAACTGCAGGTTGATCAAAGAAACTAAATAATGGCTAAGTGATAACAGCCACATATACAATGTTGTCTTGTAACATAAAAATACGGAGATGTGGTAATTATCCAAATTACGTAAGTTTAGGCAACTATATGTCACCGTACAACGTCAATTTAAACAAGAAAATTAACAGTCTAATTTATGACAAACCATTTAAAGAAAAAAAAACAAATATGACGAAATAAACCAATATATGTTCAGTGATACAAGGTAAGGGAGGTAATTTTATAGCAAACTTTCAGGAGAATGCAAGTTAACTATAACCAGTAGTTATTAGATCTAGAACACAAAATACATGTGTTTCTGAAAACCTAACCTATTCCATTTTTTAGTGCTTGCCTCAAAACCTTGGAGCAAACACTAATAATGCAAGACCGTGTTTCCTGTTTAAAACAGTCAAAGACTTTTAAAACCATGAATGTTTTGTCTACCTTCCTACATCTCAAACATAAACAGTTAAACGTAAAAAAAAGTATGATTATATTAGGCCTTAGGAAGCTATCAGTAGGTATTTAACGAGCAGTTCAACTTTAAAATAAACTACAGTAAAGTGCAATAGACTGAAACAACAGGTCAAAGACAGCATTGAAAGAAATAACAAATCATGGACAAGAAGAAGAACAAAAAAGTACAAAGAAACAAATTACAGTCTACAAAAAAAAACACAGACACCTAAGGACTGCGCAAAATTAAACCCGGGAAAATCGGGATGATCACATGTGCACTGGAAGGGTAAGCAGATCATGTTCGACTGATGACACACATCGCGCTGCTGATGGCATGTTACAGTTCTGCGACAAATAACACCAAGTGATGTCAAATGGGTCAGACAGAGAAAGGGAAACTTGACCAATAGACAGATGTTTGGGAAATGGATTATTATGTCAGAATGTACAAACCTGCCACTTCCTCTTTTAATCTTACTTCCACTTCCTCCTCTATTCCTACTTCCACTTGTTCCTCTAATCCTTCTTCATATGTTAAGAATGATAAAACTCGAGACAAGTGAAGGCGATGAAGAGCCCGTTCTAAAACTTCATATGTAGCTTCTGGAAGTCTCCTCCATTTGTTAAGGACCTCCTCTGTTTGGCTACGAAGATTTGTCACATGGTTGTTTTCAATCTGCTGCATCTGAACAACCGTAAGTCCAAGTTCTATTCCAAGCTGGAATGTTTTAATACCAATATGATCCGGCAATTGCTGTATATTGGAATCTGATGGTCTAAGTTTCAACTTATCTCCTGGTTGATCTAAAATACATATGACAAGTTTACTATGAGAATTAGCTACTAGTATTAATAATTTATAATTTATAATGTAGGACCATAAAATCAAAATAATATTTGTGTAGGACCATAATTGTTGCATACTTTTTGTGTCGGACCATACACTCCTCATACTATTTGTATAGGACCTGAATGGCAACACACTATTTGTGTAAGAACTAACTATCATCATAATATTTGTGTTAGGCCCTATTGTCATCAAATTATATGTGTCGGCCCCTAATGTCATAATGATATTCGTGTAGGACCTAATGACATCACACTATTTGTGTAGGACCCTAATGTCCTCATACTATTTGTGTAGGACCCTAATGTCCTCATACTATTTGTGTAGGACCCTAATGTTATCATATTATTTGTGTAGGACCCTAATGTCATCATATTATTTGTGTAGAAACTAAATGGCATCATACTATTTGTGTAGGGCACTATTGTCACCATACTCTTTTTGTAAGACCTTAATGTCAACATACTATTTGAGTAGGAACTAAATGGCATCATACTATTTGTGTAGGACATGAATGGCATTTTAATATTGGTATAGTGCTTTTAGGTCATCATACAATGTATGTACGACCTCAATGTCGTCAAAATATTAGGAGTCATTCTCTGTAAGCATCAAAATCATGTGGAAATGACAAGTCACAGAATTGGTTCAAAATTTGTAAAAATGTTCTAACAATTGATATAAACTGAAATATACATGAATTTTCACTTAAAATTTTGCGGTTGCTATGGTAACCGCTTGAACACTTTTTGGTCATTTTTTGTAAGTAAAAAAGGCTTAAAATGTTCAATTACTCTTGGATGTATATGGCCTTTTAGAGAATAAAAAAGAAAATTGTGTTTGTTGTTATGACTAAGTTTGGTTATGACATATTTAAAAAATGCATTTAGAAAAATATATTATTCAGCAGTTTGGTCAAGAACCTAATCCCAAAAAGGGTCAAATTCCTTGTGTATTGGGAGTCCTTTTTTACCATGTTTTGAAAGCTTTGAGATTTTTCAACCCAGATTTTCCTGATATGGCTAAAATAATTTTTTAATAGTCTAACCATTGCTTAATCAAAATACAAAAAATTGAGAGGGGTATATTTGAAAATTTTGCAAAATTCTATTCTATGAAAAAACTGTTTTTAATATTGTTACAAATAGAATACTGAAATTAACACGAATGCTTTTTTTTGTCTGGAAATACTTAATCCTGCTCTAAGAAAAAATAAAAGTTCTCAAATTAAATATAACAACTGCTGGATTCTTAAATCTCAATTAAAAGCCACTTTCAGTACACCAACATTTGGCGGTAAATGATTCTCTCTAGATTTTTCATGCATTTAACATTGGCACTTTTTTCTTTTAAAAACAATGAAAACATTACAAGGATTTTATAAGATTTTAAAATATAGCTTTTTAAACTATATGTAATATAACTATGAAAAGAAAAGTAGGGGTAAGTGGGCAAAATATTTTAATGGCACTACATGGATAAAACCAGAGGATTCTGAATATGTGACGAAAAAGTCAACAACAATAGTAGCGAACATCCACAGCTAAAGACAGTGAAGTATATATTTTACAAGCATTAACACATTCCCAAAACTTGCTCAAGCAAAATGGAGAAAGGAAAAGGAGGACTCTATGCATGGTATACAGGGCAATTGGTACACACCAAATGTAGACCATTCAAAGAAGAGGTCGGGTCGAGCAGTACCTGCTGTGAACCTGGAGGACAAATAAAATGTTCTGAACGCCTGTCAGAAAGAGACATACTTTTGACACGAAAACAATATGGAAACGTTTTACTGTATGAGCTCGGTAAGTAAAAACTATTTTTTCCTGAAAATATTGATGTGGGGGTGGGGACGAGGAACTGGACCCTTAACCATGTTAACCGAGATCCCCATTATCATTGAAACCTGTAATACAGAACCAAATTTATGAGTTTTTGTATTAGCCGTTAGTATATAAACAGTGTCTTATAAACTCGAATTTATGAATATTGAATAGATATATCATGTTATGGAGGGGCATTTCCGAAAAAAAACAGTCGAGGGACTGTAAAATTTCCCCAGCCGCTAGGCAAGGGAAATTTGGTCCCAAGACTGTTATTTTTCGGAAATACCCCTCCATAACATGATATATCTGTTTAATTACACCGAATAGATTTTGATTGAAACTCTCTGTACTGGTGAAAGGAAATATTTTTTTTACTAGTGAGATTTTATTCATAAACATAATTTGGAGGATAAGTAGAAACTATCATAATACCGCGGGAATTATACATGGACTTATATTCACTCGTGTTAATATGTCTTTTGATTGAGTTAAGCCATTTCAATTGATATTTTATAGTGTGTCTTTCTGTGTTGTGGTGTTACACTATTGTTTCAGATAAGGGTGAAGGTTTGGTACCATTAAAACGTTTGAACCCGCTGCAATTGTTTGCACCTGTTCTAAGTTTGTTGATGTGGTTCATAAGTGTTCCTCGTTTCACGTTTTTTTATATAGATTAGACCGTTGGTTTTCCCGTATGAATGGTTTCACACTATTAATTTTTGGGACCCTTTATAGATTGCTATTCGGTGTGAGCTAAGGCTCCGTGTTGAAGACCGTACTTTGACCTTTTACGGTTTACTTTTATAAATTGTGACTTAGATGGTGAGTTGTCTCATTGGCACTCATACCACATCTTCTTATATCTTCTTATACGCGTTAGCGCTGTCTTTATGTAACGTCATATCCGAATAATTTTGGAGGGAAGAGGCTCGCGAGGGTAAAAAAGGGAATTTCCAAAATGGCAAATACCACGGCATAGAGGGGAATTTTGAGGCAAATACACCGACAGTGGTAAAAAACATGCAAATTCGTTTGAAATGTGAAAAAAAGTTAGAATATGCGAAAAAAACTCTGGCTACCAACCAATCAAAATACAGCATTCTCATTAACATATAAGGTGTAATTGTATATTGTAAGGGGCACATGTCCAACTAACAGTTTTCATCTGTATTTGAACACAATTTCAAGATTCATTAGACAATGTTAAGTTGTTTTGGTTTGGTCTATTTCTCAGATACATGTACACGTACTATTACCAATAGGGCCACTGTATTTTGTGTATGGGATAATTGTCAGGTGTACATGTTCGATTGGCAGGTTTCATCTGACCTCGGACTCATTTTTCTTGGTTATTGGACATTTTTTTTTTTTGTGTTTTGATCTATTTTGAAGATATTATAGCAATATATCAATTATATTAAGTGTATGGAACAATTGTGAGGTGTAAATTTCTGTCTGGCAGGGTTCATATGACCTTGACATCAGTTTCAAGTTTCATTGGTCAATGATTTTTTTTGTAATTTCTTCAGTTTAGTAGATACTTTTACCAATAAGACAACTATATTTGGTGTCTGGAATTGTTCGAAGATGAACATGTCTATCTGGCAGGGTTCAAGTGCCCTTGACCTCATTTTCATGGTTCATTTGTGGTTTGTAGAGAAGAATTTTACATATCCGGGCCGTAAGACTTGTGGTTAAGCGTGAAGACTTAGAGTTATGCCACTTTACAAATTGAAGAATTGCTGAATTTTTTGTTTCAGTTCTCTAACTTAAGTTTGCCTCGACAAAATGTTATGAAACTTATACACAATACTTATTACCACACAACTCAGATCAAGTACAAATTTGGGTAGTGTCACATTTATGGTTCTTAAGTTATGTCCCTTTATGACTTCATATGATATGCAATTTGGGGCATCATCTGTGTCCCATAGACACATTCCCCATTTATTTAAATAATGAAAAAATGTTGCTTTCACTTTACACCAAATTATACATGAGTACCAAACCATTTATGTATACTTACATCTATATAATATGATGCTTACACGATTTTGATTTACAGTTTTATTTTTGTAAACTTCCATCAAGTTAAGTTATCAAAACTTATGTTTTGATAGCTATAGTTTATATGTTTAAGAAAAAATTGCGACACCTATGTAAAATGAAAAGGCAGCTAATTAAAACCTTGAAATTCAGTCATTCACCATAATGTAACCAGTTTCCAACAAATTGCATGCAAAATGTATATTTGAGTTGTCGAATCAGGGAAAATATGAAAAAAGTTAAAGGACCAAGAGAATTTTTTGTTATTATTTTTTTTTTATCATTTTTCGTATTTAAACATGATATTCATATCTAATTATCATTGACTAAAGGTATGTAAAGTATCAGAATGTGTGTAGTTTATTTTCATATCATTATTTGATCATAACTGATCTTTTCATATAAAAATGATTGCATTAATAACATTTACGTGCAGATTTTTTTTTCTGAGATTTGAAAAAAAAAATCAAAAAATTCAAGTGACCTTTTTTCAATCAAAATTAAAAAAAAAACTAAAAATATACCCTCTGAGATTTTTTTGTCAAGAATGCATCAAATACAATATTTCTTAATGGTGATATTCGTTTATGCGACAAAATCTGGAATAAAAAATTTTGTGGCCATAAAAATGGGTTATTTTGTGAATTTTTGCTAATCTTGATTTTTAAAAAAACATCCAATTTTAAAATTCAAAATTTTTACTTTAGATGAAAGAACTTTAAAAAATTTCAAATATATTTTAAAACACTAATATATAATAGGTTGATAGCAAAAGAAAAACCGGGGATATATGTTTCCATTCTGTTACAAAAAAAGTGGTAAAAACAGGAAAAAATGCACTTTTCATCATGCTTTTTTGATGTTTTTCGAGCAAATTTAAAATAACTTGTTTCCATGGCAACCAACGCTTCAACTTTTGAAATGATTATTATTTTTGTTGTCAGTGCACCATGACAAACCCATGATATGAAAATAAAGGAAATCATGGCGTATGCATTTCTCAT